AGTTTTGGGGTTTTATTTTAAGCTCTTAAAATTTGGTCAGTGTTGTCCATGACATCAATTCTGAGCCTATGGCCACTTTTATCAAGGGCAAATATATGAACATGAAAATACCAGACACTGTCCACAAGATGTTGTCTGTTCTCAACTTTTAAGGTCCTTATGATTTGTGCATTTATACTTTTATCATGGTCTTGTATGATAAAATCATCTTTGAATTTTTCTGTCTTTGTAATGACCGATTTTCTCACTTCTGCAATATTGAACTTGATAATCGGGGGGGGGGGGGGGGGGGGTCACTTGATGGTATCCTATGAATGGCAAGTATGTGCAGATTGAGGTAACCTTTGTTCTTTTCGCCACGATGGTACAAAATTCTTCTTTCAGCTTTTGGCCTTGGCGTTCTGACCAATTAAGAATCTAATGTTATTTTATTTGGAGTACTGCTGATTGAAATTGTCACTCTAACTGCTGTGCAGGCAAGCTCGTTTACTTCCGTCAGTTTGGTCTCCAGTTTAAACATTTTTTTTCTAAATTTTGGCACATTTTCTGTATTACTGTCATTATCCATCATAAGCCCATCTACCTTGTCTAATAGTTTCTACCTAAGTTTGGAAACATTATCCCTGTGCTATTCTTTCTGCGACGGCAGTTCCTATTGAATCTCTGATTTTAGATCTTTCAGAATCTCTTCCTTTATATTGGCTGTCAACTCCTCATGTAGTTCTTTCTGAAGATCTTCCTTAAAGTCAGACACTACACTTTTAAAACTTTTCCTTATGCCATCCCTTTTGACTATCCTTTGGATTGACTGTTCAATCACTGCCAGTGCATACTTACTTTCCTCAATTTCTGAAATATTCTCTTTCCCCTGCTGAGGGAATCCTTCTTCGTTTTGTAGCGGGTTTTAATGATACAACTTGTGATTTATCTCAGATAGCACTCTTGTAAAAAAAAAAACGTACATTGAGCATGGGCTGAAAACTTTTCCAGTGTTTGCACCTCTTTTGTGCTCTTGGCCTGTTGATCAGCCATTGTTACAGTAATACATAATGGTTTACTTAACACTGGACACACTGAACACATGCAAGGGATCAACTGTGTTGTATACTATAATTCCAGGTACACTGAATACATGTGAACTCATAGCTTTTCAATAACGTTTGAAAATGTGTTTAACAAAGTTCACTTTTCCAATATTTTTTAAGGAAACAGGTTCAAACTGTGCTTTTAATCTTTACCAAACACTATTTTTCCTACCAAAGAAACACTTTTTAAAGACTCTAAAAATCAACTTTTTAACGGAGGAGCAGAAATACACCACCTCACTTGACAAACATGACTTTGAACTGCCTGCTATATCGCCATGAGAAGAAAAAATATTTTCAAGAATATAATGACTTTTAAATATATGACCATTTAAGCCCCACCGTAATTCCTGAATCGTGGACCCAAAAATATTTATGGTATGAAATTCACAATATAGGTGAAAGATTGAACACAGATATAATCATGATAAGGTTTGTCCACGAATAAAGAAAAATATTTTAAATATAATACATTTTCAATTTAGAACCAAATTACCCAGAACTCTGTACTAAGGACCATGAATTGCATAATTTCAGTAGAGGTCTCATTGCTTATGATATCCATGCCAAAAGTTATATGAATATTTGATGTAAAAACAGAAGAGTAAAGAACAAACTTCTTGAAGATCAGGTCTTAGGCATTCTCTTGAACTCATGAATGTTATGTACCAAAATTAGATAAAATTAGTTTAGCGGTTCCCGAGAAGAAGCAGAAAATATTCAAAAGTTTACGATCGACGCGCGACAGATGATGCCTGTACTTTACTTAGTAGCTTAAGGTATATCACTCGTCAGCTTTTGAAGAAAAATTTTGTTAGAAACGCTTATATGAAAATTATCCAATAAAATTTCATTTTAATTATATTTTGAATTCGACACTGTCTTATACAATATTCAAAGTATAGATCTGCACTTATGCATTAGGATAATGAACATGCTGAAAGTAACTAAAAAAAAAAACAATCCGATATCATAATAAATGATATATTTAGCATTCGTGGATAGACCTCTATCAAGCACAATTATATCTTGTTACAAAGCGAAATGTAATAACAACGCAAAATGTAATAAACTGGGATTATAACATTTTGCGTTATTACATTTTGCTCGAGATCAACGCAAAATGTAATTACACAAAATGTAATTACATGATTTTAAGATTATTACATTTTGCGTTATTACATTTCTGTTGGGATTAACACAAAATGTAATAATGTACTTTTTGGTTGTTACATTTTGAACCATTTTTTTTGCGTTGATGACAGCGCAAAATGTAATAAAACAAAATGTAATAAAACAAATTATTTTTATTGTATTGTGTTCAACGCCAAACATCACAAAACTCATTTTAAACATATGACAATGGGGAAACTCGATTTACTAAACAGACAGACCTTTTAGACGGACATTACTTATTCTAATTGTATATTTTTTAAACTCTGTTTCTAACATTTTTTATTGAATACTTATAAAATATTAACTTAACTTTGATTGACATTCTGTATCCTCATTCTGTATTATATATCCATCACTGACATTCTTGATTACCAAAGATTGACCATGGGTCCATTAAAAGCTCTTGGTATGCATGTACGACGTGCATGTGCACATTGGTTAGCAAATTAGAAGAGCATAAGTGTGTGTGTCTAGCGAGGAGAAGCGGGGGGTAAGGGTTACTTCGTATGTTGATCATTGTATTGCATGCAGAAACAATTTTATTATTGGAGAGAGAGAGAGAGAGAATTTTATTTTTGCTGGTCTGCAGTGCACATGATTTGTAAAACAGTGTGAAATCTTAATTGTCAAGAAACCCCCTTCCCGCTATATTTACACTTGCCAGTAAAAATAAATAGATTTCTTTTCTAAATTTCGTGCATGTGCCTATGAAAAAGCAAAAGCAAACTGATACACTGATCAACGAAATACCCCCACCCCCACCCACCCACCCACCCACACACACACACACACTTGTGCACGCACGTTTCTAATTTGCAACACCTATGATTTGAATATCAACTGATTTTAAATGGCTAATGAAATCAATACCTGATGAAATCAGATCTAATGTAAGAATAAACATATGTTTATTTTTCGTTTTGTTTTATTTTCTTTCCGTTTATTTTCTTCATCCACTACTCAATTGAAAATTATTCTCAACCTGACTGACCAAAAAATGTGTCATTACATTTTGCGTTGTTGTATTTTGCTTAATCTCGACGCAAAATGTAACAACGCAAAATGGCATAATCCAAAAATCATGTTATTACATTTTGCTTTATTACATTTTGCGTTGATCTCGACGCAAAGGGTAATAATGCAAAGTGTAATAATTCTAAAAGGTGTGTTGTTACATTAATTTTGCATTATTACATTCTGCGTTGATATCGACGCAAAATGTAATAACGCAAAATGCAATCATCACGGTTTATTACCTTTTGCGGTGTTATTACATTTTGCGTTGTAACATATCTTTAAAAAAATTTAAAAAAAAAAGGTGTTGCAATCTCTTCCAGTTTGGACAGAAAACGCTGAAGGAAACCCCGATTATTCACTGATAAATATTAGGATCTATTATTCTCGAAACAAACTTTCATTCGTTTACTTCAACCCCCCCCTCCCAAAAAAGAGCAATGGCGGACATAGTAGATTTAAAAAAAATCAGATTAACTCGACCGGAAGTGATAACAAAAATAAAAATAAAAATAAAAATAAATTTAAAAAAAAATGAAAATATATAAATTAAAAAAAAAATTATAATAATTAAAAAAAAAATTAATAAAAAAAGAGATAAAATCAGGAATGAAAGAGTTCCTGTAGGTGTATTTAATTCTTTTAAAATTCTATGTAGAAAAAATGGAAATTCCGGTCTACAATTAATCTTTTCGAGGATGATATTTCATTTTTATTTGACATTTGCCTTATTCAGGTCACAAAACAATATATGGAAGAGAAATAATTGAAGTTATAGACTCAATTTTCAACTCTCCAGTTTGTACCAAAAAATACTTCCAGTGGAATGTTTTCAACAGTCAATTTGCATTCTAATAAATATTTCGCTATTCAAAACAGTTCAACATTTTTGAAAATTATGTAATGCATAAGCCAATATATGAAACGATCTTTTTCTCCTTAATTTTATGGTTTTTTAAATTCTTTGATATTAAAATGGCACGTTAAAAAATGAAAGTGAAAAAGAATAAGGTATATACCTTTAATTATTTTTAGAATCGGTAGAGGAAAAATCTAGTACACTAAAACAACAAGTGCTTGAACTTGCAAGCAGTATATGAAATAAGTGGGTCACCTGTACTAAAGATGCTTGGTATATATTAAATAAGCAAAATTCTACTTTGAAACCATTCTCAGTATTGAGATATAATTGAATTACATGTGTGTTTGATGTAAGTATATCTTGAATTGGGAAACTTTCTACTTTTAATTTCATTTCAGATGGTTTTTTTTTTAAACTTAATACTTTTACTTTCTTTTCAGATTTTTTTTCTTTACGACATTGCATTGCAAACGAATTGTCACCTACATGTATAAAAAATATTTGGTGGACTGTAACGAATTTCGACCGGCAGTATTTAAAAAAAAATGAGATAAACTTTGAAATCACTAATACCTGTTGCTGAGAAATCGCAATGCCCTATAATAAAGGATAATCATAATAAGAATCATAATAAAAACAGTAAAGTCTTTCGAAAGAAGTTCCAGGACCTTAATAAAGATAATAATAAGAAAAAATAAAATCACCGCAAGGTCTTTGTTGGAAACGTAACTGCAGATCTTAATAAGAAACAGAGTAAAACCAATAATGTTCCTAAACTTTGTTAGAGGAGCATGAATGAAAAAAAAAAATATACAAAAAATGTAGCTTAAAATTTCTCGAAAATAAAGCAAATATCCTCTTACCCCATATCTTTGGTGAAGTTTATGGTGACATTGTTTTGATTTGCCAACTGGAAGGTACTGTTGAGAAGCAGATGATAATCTATCTTTTTAAACTTGATACAAGTTAGTTTCTCCAAGATGATAATGGATTCTAGAATACTATTCTCCTCCATCTTATCTAAAAATATTAATAAATAAAAAATATTTTAAAAAATAAAATAAAAACAAATTATTTATGGTCAGATTATTGTTTTGATAAAAATGAAATAAAAATGACATAAAAAGATCCACTCACTATACTCATTAGGGTGAAAGGTGTACCATATAGGTAATTTCCACAAATAAACCTTTTTGGCGTGCAGCTTGCGCTTTTGTCGACGTTTTCCCCTTTCAACAATTTCCAACGCTTGTTCTGGTTGTAAAATAATATCGCCCTCAAAAATGTAGGGAGCCGCTTTTATAGGTGTAGCTGTTGCATTAATCTTTGTATGATTCTTTCTCTTAAATTGTAAGTGAACAAATGTTGAAAAAAAGTTCATTTAAGTAATTTCCAATTTTTATTATCGTCACTATGTTTTTTTTAATGTATGTGTATTCACAAAATAAATATCAGATGCATACTCTACGAAACTTCTCTTCCATTTCTTTTTCCAATTCCGATAGAAGCTTCATAATTTTAAGTTTGGCATCCAAGGATTGACCATCATTGATTTCCAATGGATCAAAAGCCTAAGAGGAAAGAGTACAGGTGAGTTGACAACCATTGCTTTTACCATAAATTTATTTGTTTTGGAAAACTCATATTAATGTTGTAGACCTTTAAACACTGATAAAGGATATATTTTGTAAACAAGTTTGATTGAAATCATACTCAAACTTGTCAACAAAATGTATTCAATTTTGAATTTTCAAAGGAAAACATTATTTAAATATTTTTTTTATTGCTAGAACAAATACATAGATGATATTTAGAAGTTAGACATGATCGACATTCGTGTATGTGAATTTCAATGAATGGCTTCAGGGAAAACGTTAGGTTTGTTATCTGTCAGAAATCACACCGTTTGTCGTACTTCACATGTTTCCATCTGAATAGACTGATTTTTTTTTTCAATGAGCCTTCAATTTTTTTTTCTTAATTTGAAATCATTTAAATACTTTTACCATTTTTGTCGTATACAATATTTTGTAAATTTGTTTATTTCTGGTTTGTAATTAGTAAAAAAAAAATATTCTAAATAGTTAATATTTCTAACTTCTGACCATCTGTTGAAATATTTGAGAGATAAACACGATTACACACTTGATATTCTTATCAATTTTATCACAGTCGAACATTAGGAAATGGGTCGTAGAAAGTTTTTCACACATTCTTTTGTTGATACACAATCTGATTGTAAACCCTCAGGTGTACCACAAGGGTTCACCGCGCCTAACATAGTTATTTCAGTTAGGTGGGCAGGAAAAAGTCTACATTGATGGTATCCCCATGAGTCTACATTGATGGTATCTCCATGAGGAACGGCCAATAAAATTTTACATCAAAAACTGAAAGATTTGAAAATATCTATAGAATAAATAAAATAAAGTTGTAAAATATGCAAATTTTTGTTCGTTCTTGCAGGAATTGACTATATTGCTTTTAGATTCATATAATTTTTGAGCTAATACCCTTAATAGTACCATTCTGTTAATGATGGAATGGTTCATCGACAGAATTACCTCTCCTACTGGGTTTTGAAAAATGCACTTGAATACCTATTTTATAATAAATTGTATTAGCTATTACTTGTAGAATAAATCAAATGCGCTAAATGTTTTCTTTTAAATTCATTAACACAAGATACAGTCTATACTTTTGCATTTTTCATATTTTACCCTGAATGATCCATGTGCATTATTAAACCCAAAATAAAACTTCTGACTTTTTGATGATAATTGATGATAAAGAATTTTATTTTACATATTTTCCACTCCATATTCAATATGCATTCATTTTACAATTTAATGTCTTACAATGTCTTCGAAATAAATTTTCTGCTTAAGCATGTGTTTAAAAATTCATAACACACCTTGACAATGTTCATGGTATATGTATGTATATATAGTGTATTCTTTATAAATTCTATCCCCGTTTTTTTCTGTAAGAGATAAAAGCCCTTTTCTCTTTGAAGAACGCATTTCATAGGCCAGAAGGGAAACTTTTTATTTCCTTTTGTATAAAAGATTCTTTTTTTTTGCAAAGGACTTCCGTATTGAGTTAAATGGTTGAATATATAAAGCTGGGATCGGATGATATCAAACTTGGGTTTTACACATTCACTTTATACATGGTCTACCATATTTACCAGATTACTGCTGCATCATGCACAGTTTTCATCATCACTCCTAATACTAAATAATTTTTTTTAACAAAATGATGTATTAAGGCACGAAATATTATTGCAATAGAGGAGTACGGAGATGTATGATTCAAATATAATCAATCAAGGCGATAACTTCCGTTGTTAAACTATTAGATTGTGTGTTAAGTAAAAACTGCTTTTGTAAGCTTTTTGTGAAAGATGCCTTTATATGGCATTTTTATAAATTATTTCTTCATCATTATAACTAGATATATAATTGATGAATGTACGGGAAAAAAGTAAACAACAGGTTTAAGGGCCAACACGCTCACCTGAGTCATAGTTACCCTGTTTTTACTAGAGTTTATCAAACTATATTTTTACTTTAAATATTTCTTATCATCTCTCCTTTAAAAGAAGTAAGTCCCTATTTTGAACAAACTTGAATCCCTTTTATTTTCTGTGCAAAATTGAATTGTTGAAATTGGCCATGTGGTTCTGGAGAAGTCGAAAAAGTGCCAAGTTTACGGGGGATATCCAGAAAGACGAACAGTTAATGGACGAAAATGATCAGAAGCAGTTCAAGTGATATAAAACAAACCAAATACTGATAATCTGGTGAGCTAATAAAAACAATTATAATAATTATGTTAGATTTCTTGCAAATACTTGTTTATTTTTGTTTAAAGATACATGAGTGTAAGTTATGAACGTAGATTCCTATCAGTAATCAGTATTAAATGCGATAAAGAAACGCTATGATTCCTTTTATCAAGTTTATGATGTCTTTTTTTTCAGGTTTGAGGCTATACGGCCTACTTTCTGTTAATATCATGTTAAAATGTACATGGCTGAAATTCTTTTGTGGAAAGGTTGTTGTTATTTTGACCATCCAGAAAACTTCGGTGCCTCGATCCTCTACATGTTAGATGATATACTAGCTCCCCATTTTACATGTACATGTAATCTAACACTTTTGCATTTTAATTGTTGAAGTCTTTTCTCGAGTTTTTCCTGAAGTCTAGTGTTTATGTATTCGATTCTGGTTTTTTTTTTTTTTTTTTTTTTTTTTTTTTTTTTTTTTTGTGACCTGTTTGTAAATAAGACGGGGTTTCCTGCCTGTTTTACTCAATTCAGAGGGTCGACTTCTAAATTAACAGAGATCCCCAAAAACCAACTTTTTTAGAATGTGTGAATAATTGGACTAGTTAATGTGATTTACAAACGAATGAAGACCATAAAGTAGCTTGTTTAATGTTAAGATTAATCACATTTTGTAAATTCTCTACATTCACACCATTAATTTTAACACAATAACGATATAATGAAAAAAAATCATACTGAGTGTATACACTAAACTATAAGAGTAGTTATACAAATTACGTTATAATGAGTTTATTTAGGCGTTACCTGTTTCCAAATAGCCACCAAAATTAATGTTTTCGTACAACATGACAGATATGATATATTTTTGAGGGATAAAAAAATGGAATATTAATTTCTTTTGTGCAAATTTGGTATTTTGAGTGATTTGACATCTTCAGAAGGTCATACAAAGACACACAGTTAAGTATAATCGCCATTTCTTAGCTTTTTTCGCCATAAACGGTCCACGAACAATGTCCACACTACTGAAGAACATCTTCGTACTAAACCCCGCGTCAAAATTTGACAAGAACGCATGTCTTGGGGCCTGATTAACGATAGTCGCTAAGCCAAATTTTTACACCATGATATGCACGCTAAAACGATAATCCTATTTTGAGCATGTAAATATCATCCAACGAGCGGTTGATTTGCTTGAAGTTTGGTTAATTTTCTCGGAATATTTCTTATCTTCTTTAAAATACGGTAAGATCATTGTTAATGTTTCTAAAATTTATCTCATTATTTTCTGATTTGATTTCATTATTTATTGCACATTGAATACAATACCCTACAGAAAAATCTATATATTTAAGAAGAAAAAAAAAAAATTAATAAACCAAAAATTGTGCTTTGGGGACCAAGATTGAAAAATGTAATGAAAATCGAACTTACCTCAGTTTTTTCGGAGGATTCCGGTGGCAAAAAACCCTCATTTAATCGTTCCACAGAAATATCCACTGGCATTCCATTGCAAAGTTGCATTGAAATAAAAATAAGAAGACCAGTATAAATTATACAAGGTATTATATGCTGCAAAGACCGTGCCGAACCAATCATGGTTAGGGTTGTCGGAAAACGAGATACGCACTTAAGGTAAAGGTTAGATAAAACAAATGCGTGCAAAAAGGATATATCGCGAAAACGGTTAAAAGAAAATAAAGTACTTGTTAAATGATGTTTATATCATAAGTTAATGTCTAAAAATCCGTTCACTGTCGTCGATGCTTTGGGCACCCCGTGTTCAGATCCGTTGTGGGTTTTATCTTATATCTACCTCCCAGTGTTAGTCAAGTCGGAAGTCATGTTCGAGGGCTTTCAACTTTTACCTTTTGTTTATTATCGACTCATAATGCAAGAATTTGATTACCTATTTCCATTGATAGTTATTTGAAAGTTGTTTTGTCATTTTTTTAAAAACAAAATCTCCACCCCTTTCTGAAATCTAACCAGTAAGAATCTTTGACTTGTAAGACAGTTTAAAAAATAATGTTCTAGATCGCTGAGCACATCGATGAATGAATCTTATTAAAGAGAAACTTACCGTTACTTGCTGTCATTTAGAGATAACTAATATAGTATACGTGTACTTTAAAGATAACGTATTGCTCAGGATGCAATAAACTTCTGTAGACTTTATTTGCATAAATAACGAACAGATGTTTGAATCACCACGTGTAGATTGATTTAGGCGGAGTATAAGTTAAAGAAAAATATTAGCATATCTTGATCGCCCAGCTACTACAAGTATTTTGTCATTGTGGTTAGTGTGCATATTTAGTACATTTTTATGTTAATCTTTTGATTACATGCATTTCGAATGTATTTAATTGTTTTGACACACCAGGTGGCCAGGTGGTTACATCGTTTACTCTGGCTATCACGTTGTCAGCTTGCATCCAAAGTTACATGTATATGCATATCTATCAGTGTTGTTTACCAACTTACTTGGGAACCCCCCCCCCCTTCGTTTTTAATCTAGTTTTGTTGTATTTTTAGAGACAAAAAAAATGTATGTTTAGAGAGAAGAAATAGGTACAGTTAATAAAAAGAATACGAGTCGTGTGGTAAACATGTCCATCTGTGAAAACTTCAAATCTTTTGATTCATTTTGAGCTTGATAGGGAAACAATGTAATCTTAAAGGGAACCAATATCTATCAACATACATGTACTTTAAACTTAACCTGAAACAATAACATTGGCATTTTGCATATTATTACTGCAGATATACTTGTCAGAATTCAAAATGTTTGGTAAACCTTTTTGATCCAGTCATGTAAAAAGTCGGCAAAAACGTGTATTCCTTATTTTGTCAAAATTTAAGAAACTAGTTCTTTGATTTTCCAACTGCATTTTAGCTTTTAATTCAGAAACTTTTTAAGGAAAGTTTAGTAAGCCATATCAGCATTTGAAAAAAAATAAATTTTGAATAACTTTTTTTTTGCTTACGTTTCTTCTTCAGTCTTTCTAAGCAATGTGCACACACATTCAAATAATTCATTATTTAAACGGTAGCGTTGCAAGCAAGTGTTATGTCTTGTTAATACAAAACTATGAAACTATGATATCTTAGTTTAAACTATATTTTATTTGAAAATTAACAGTGGGTAGAAATGCATATTGAAGGAAAATTAAAAAAAAGATTCCTGAGCAAGTTACAAAATTCATGAAAGTTTAATCGCCTCTTTAATATTCGATAATGATATAAATAAGAGACCCTTATAAGGTAATACAAAATAAATACGGTGGCAGGCAATTTATGATTTTACAGGAAAAATAAAGTGTAAGATTTACATCCATGTACAATCCAAATTTAGAAAACAACATGTCAATAGACAGAAATATAACGTTCCAAAATTACAAATGAAATATAAATAATGAGATTGTGTTAATTGAATGTCAGAAAAAGAAAAACGACAACAAAACAGGGTTGAATTTTAAAACAGATAATAATTACTGAGTTTATAACGCAAAAAGTGACGCTGAGGATTATTAAATGACGTTTGCCACAAATACTGAAGAGAATGCGTACAAACCCATCAGATTTGATATCTTGACGTAATTTGAAACTTCACCTTTTCCAAAATCATGAAAAAAGTAGCAGTTGTGAAACATTTGAATAAACAAATATAATTTTCATTGAAATGTGGCAATGTCTGTTGTAAGATTACATAGACTTTGTTATGTTAATTATGTAGCATTACCTTATCATTGTTATTTTTAAAAGTTAATTATTGTATGTCACATGAAAACTACAGGTGTCATGGGAGTGTGCATTGAAATTCAACGTTTAATTACAAAATTATGTATAAATATATGACTATATAATGTATAAATAACGAGTCTATATCGAAATACAGTCAAGACTACAGAAATGGTATCTATTCTGGATCTTAAATATAGTCAATTAATCTGCTAAACAAATTCAAATAAAGATAAACAGATTTAAAAAAATGTTTATTGCACATTAACCTACATCGTAGACATCCAGTGGAGTGGACGCCGTTCGTTTTATCATAAGTGAAACTTCATGATTACTTTCACACTTATCTAGGTAACAACATCTTAGATTGTCTTTTCCCTTATATATATATATATATATATATATATATATATATATATATATATATATATATATATATATATATATATATATATATATGTTAGCCATATTGTGTTATTGGTTTATCCAACTCATTGAAATGGTGTATATTCTCGAGGCTTGCCGAGCGAATATACACCATTTAAACGAGTTGGAAGAACCAAATATCAAATCACACAATTATACATGTTCTATTTATCTCATACAATTTTCGTTTGTAACAAAAACTTTGAGATAACCCCTATGGAACTATGGGCGAGTTCGATCACCGACTAATGGTTAGTTCGGTAAGTGCTACTGCGCATGCCCTTGATCGAACGGAGTTTAGTTTCTCTTTGGTTTTTGAACATGGCCGAAATTTCTTCGATTATTAAAGTAAAAGTACCTCTTTTGGAGTTTTTGCAGGATTATTTTTATTTCTTTGCTCGTCGTCAAACAGATAGATATTGGTCTTTGTTAAGGAAGAGAGAATGGACTCCAAAAATTACGAGCTATATGGAAACGTTTGACGAATTTGGGCTTCCACAAAACATTGATGATTTTCGCTTACACTATCGTGTCAGTAGAAACTTGTTTGAAATTATTCTTCATGAAATTTATGGAAGTTTACTCTTAGGTTGGAGTGGGTCCTACAACGCCATATAACCTCAAAAACAACTCCTTTTTTGTCTGTGGTATCTGTCTAATATGTCGTCAATTCGAGAGTTTGCTCACATTTTCAACTTGTCGAAATCAACAGTTCATGCAGTTGTAATGAGGGTGTTGGAGGCACTTCAAGAGTTGAGACCAAGAGTAAGTGGTTCACTTAAATTTAAATAATTGTTGCTTACTCTCATAAGCATAAAGGTGTGATAAGTTAATAGGAATTTTTTATGATATACTATGATAAACAGCGGCTGCTGTGTGCTATACAATAAATAGATCTGCACAAATCTTTGATGTATAAATTTTGACTAGGTATAATATACATCATACATGCTTTAATCATTCTATCAAATAATTATAATACATCTGTATCATTCATGGATTTCAACGAATGGGTAAAGATTTTCAATTATTGATTTTAAATGTCAAGAACCTCTAATTTATATCGATTTTATACCTGATTTAATTAATGGTTCTATTTAAAGGTGATTCGTTGGCCAGATGCTGAGCGACAAAAAGAAATCTCTCGAGAAGTTGAGAACGTGTGGGCTTCAAGGGGTAGTTGGATTCCTTGATGGAACTCACTTAAGACTTTCATCGGCCCTCAATGGTGAAAGGGATTTTTACAATAGAAAAGGATATCCGTCCATTCAAGTACAGGTAAATAGCAAGTGTAAAAGTATCTTGCTTGCATAAATGCTTAAATGTCATAACCTTGCGTTAGCTTAAACCTGGCAAAAAGTAATTATCGGGGTATTATCATAGTACCATTGTTTTTACATGTTCACCTTTGGACATCAATGATCATTTTGATAATCCCCTAAACATCACATGTATATCCATTTAACTTATTTAAAATTTTAGAGATTCTTCAAGTAGATTACCTGAAAAAATAAATTTAAGTATGTTGAAATAAACTCCATGCTTATTAAAATGAAGAGATTTTCTTTAAGAGCAGTAAAAAAAAACCAACATGTCTCATATATATATATTGCAGGCTGTAGTAGACCACCAGATGAAATTTACAAATATTTATGCTGGGTGGCCGGGCTGTGTCCATGATGCTCGCGTTTTGAGATATTCATCGCTATACACAGAGGCAGAAGCAGAAAACCTTGTACTCGTTGATCACTATATTCTTGCTGACAGCACGTATCCTCTCAGGAACTGGTTAATAACCCCTTTAAGAACTTGGGAAATCTTACCCCACAGCAAGTCCGTTTCAACAAGAGACTGTCAAGTGCACGATAATTATAAGTTCTTAAAGGGGTTATTAACCAGTTCCTGAGATTTATAAGTTGTTGAACGTGCTTTTGGCCATTTAAAAGGACGTTTTCATCGGTTGCAGGACATTCCTTTACACAGCTCCACAGAAATTTGCCAAATGATTTTGGTTGTCTGCATATAACACAACATGTGCATCATTAATGATGATGAAGTTGAAGTTCTCCCACATCATGGGAGAACACTTACAGGATCCAAATGACTGCCAGTGTGATAATATTTACCAAAAAGGACACAGTGGCATTGTTAGGAGATTGCAGCTTGTCAACAGTTTTAACTGATTACACAAATGGCTGAATTATTGAATTTTTTTCAGTTGCAATATGCAAGTGATTATTTTGTAAGGTGTATTGCATGCATATTGTACAAGAGTGCTGTACAGCGTACAATGAACAAATTAAAATTTTAACACATTTTTGTGTTAAACCAATAAAAGTTACAACTACCACAAACAAAAAAAACATGACTTCTCATTATTTGTATTTACTTCAGTATTAAAGGAAACATAATCTTGCAGATGTCCTCAGGATAAAGAATGAACAGCTTACATTTGACATTTTATTAATATTCCATTAAGGATCAAAACAAAATAATATGAATAACAAAACTTCAACATATTGCTATTTGGCACAATAGAAATCAAAACTTCAACGGTTAACCTATTGCTATTTGGCACAATAGAAACTAATCTGTAACACAGGAAAAACCCGTAACAAACTATCTCAAAAGTTTATCTGGGATCAATGTCTGCACATCAACTTGTCACTTTACTGAAGTGTTCAAAAACAATTTTCAAAATATTTAGTTATTAAATGTGCACAAATGAAAATGATAACGAAAAAAATCAACATTTACTTATTGCAGCTTTGCCTTGTTTCAATTTCTCTTTCATAGAGATTTAAAAGTCTGTCTAGTCTTGCCATTTTATCCGTGTGCATCTATTCCATTTTCTCATTGAATTCCTTGTTATGCCTCTCTAATACTTCCATTACATCTGAAAGTCTTTTTACTGTACTTTTCTTCCTTCTGGGTTGCTCTGTAGACTTGTTTTCTTTTGACCCTTGTGTCTCTGCTTTCTTTTCCAATGTGTCTAATGTGACTGTTGGTTTTGTGCTTTCTTTAGTACCATACATTTCGTCAAACTGTTCTTTTTGCCTAAAATATTTCCTTATGGTAGTTTCGTTCAACAAGACGCTCGGCTGTCTCCGTGAACTCTAACCTGCCAATCGGCAATCCTCGACTGACTCCGCTATGCTCCATACAAACCTCGGAAGTGATTGGTGGAGAAATATGCATCAAAT